TTTGTTCGGTACACCCACAGCCAGTCTTGGTGCTAGTCCGGGTCAGACGAACACCTTCGCATTCGGCAACAGTCTGAAACCCGCAGGAACCACTAATCTATTTGGTACAGCCACGGTAACCACAGCGAACGCTCTAAAACCCGGAGGACTGTTTGGGACGCCTGCATGTAAGTTGTACACTTCACAGTTAAATTATTTTTATTGAGGTATCATTTTTAGATTGCAAGTGAGTCCGAATTCCTTTATTTCCGAGCTCAAACAGCGAAGACTAAAGGATTCAGTGTGTGTATGATCTACTGTTTCAGAAAATTTTGCCTGTGGTGGTTGCGCAATGGTTTAGTCGTTGTCACAGGCGTGCTTTGGACCCCATGGTCCGAGGTTCGAGCCCCGCCACCGCCGCCCAGCTTTGGTGGTAGGCAGTTGTACTGTCTTCCACACCTAACCTATCGGGGCTTCTGTCGTTCGCCTCTCTAAGTCCCGGGGCTTAGGTTACCGTTTACCATCACTGAATAGCAGGTCTTTGTGGCTATGGGGTTTTCCCCATCTGCGTATGAAAGCCCTAACCAGGAGTCGGGGTCACATCTGTCCCGTTAGGCTCCCTGGATGGTCGTACCTGATGGTTAGAGACACTGAGTGATATGGCTGAGTGTCGTAAACAGTGGCGTTCGTGCGTCTTGTCAATTTTTCTGCAACAATGGTCCGCTGAAATTCTAAATTTCCTCTGATCCTACTTTCAACCTTTCCTGTCTTTCTCCTAATGTTCATCCAAATGGGCAGCCAAAAGACAGCAACCAAAACCGGCCCACGATAGTGCATGGTGATTGGTTGTACAAACTGAAAAAAGCTCCCCCCATCTGCAGCTCACTACACAGGAAAGTGAATAATTAAAAAAATTTATTCGGAACCACAGGTAATAACTAATTTGGAAGGTAGTGTGCCAATTCGGTGGTTAAAAGCTTACGGTCAAAGACGCTGACTTGGACGCCGGGCGAAACACTTGGACGATCGTAGTTTGCGACAATAACTGTCCACCGTGGGTTGTGAACCCTCCTACCAAGTTGAAACATTTCGTGTCTGGTAATTCACTCAGTGCTCCCCCGCTAGACGGGAAACCGATTGTTCGCTAACTGACT